AAACTTCAACCTAACCCTATAGCCCTGGGGCCTGACACACCAGTGAGTTAAATGCAGTCAAAATAATGACTCAGACCAAAAACCATATATATACTTAATACTTTACATGCATCTATGTATACTTTTTTATGTGAAAAATATGTTGAAGGGCATCAACCAACAGCTATCTTCCCTATTTTACACAATTTTTGTTTGCCAAAAAGAGCATCATGATTATACAAATTCATTCACTATTTAATAGTCTTGCCAAATGTGTGTGTGTGTGTGTAGGAGGGCAAATTATGTTGGCCAATGAATGGGATAATGTTTGCAATTATGTACAAAACAGTCAAATAATCAAAAACTAACAACAGGGGAGCTTTGTATTATATGGAGAATTTAACCAAGATATGGATTTTGCAGTCTGAACTATATTTAGAACAGTGAAGAATTGTGAAACAAAAGCAAGATAGAGGTCCCGTCAAGCTGAAATGTCGTTGGAGGCCGAAAAACGTACATATTTTAAGCCAAAATCGAATTACAGGCAGTATATAGCTTGATCGATGTGTGGTGGAATTTGCTTGATCTCTGTGCCTAATTCTTGTTCGATCCTGTACCTGATGAGATGAAGGAGAATAAGCAGGTCATCAAATATAATGATCTCTAAATATCAATACCCGGTTAACTATGTTTTATCATTTTTCAAGTTTGAGAAGAGCACGATGACCATACAAATTGAAGCGGTCCTCGTAGGTAATCAGATTCACAGCTAACCCAAGATGTCCGAATCTTCCAGATCTACCAACCTACAAAAGGCGATTAAATAAAAGAATTTGCAAATGATAACTATTAATAGGTAACACAACCAAAATATAATCACCATACCCTATGCAAGTATGTCTCGGAATTCTTAGGAAAGTCAAAATTGATCACGACGTTTACTGCTTGGATATCTATACCTCTTGTGAATAAATCTGTATCGAGAAAGCGATAGTGTATTTTTCAGAGGAAAAAAAGAAAAGATTAGAAAGCATCAGGTGACCACAAAAATCAAACATCAATTTGAGGCTATATACTACCCTAATGTTTTATATATTATTATTATTACCAGTACACACAAGATTTCTGCAGGCACCATTGCGAAAGTCGTGAAATACTCTATTTCGATGATCTTGGAGCATTTTAGCATGGATGTAAAAGCAAGAATATCCGAGCTCCGTTATTTTCTTGGCAAGAAGCTCTACCCGGTTTACTGAATTGCAGAAGATAATTGATTGGTTGATTTGAAGCTGTGAACAACAGAAGTGTGTTGAGGCAGTGTATGAAGAGAGATTAAGTGTATGATAATAAGTTCTAACCTTAGAAAAGAGAGTGTTGAGGCAGTGAACTTTCTGCCTTTCTTCCACAAACGCATAAAATTGGGTTATACCCTTGAGTGTAAGCTCGTCCATAAGGTTGATCGCATAGGGCTTTTGCATGTATCGATCTTTGAAATCTTTTACAGTGACGGGGAATGTGGCAGAGAACATGAGAATCTGACGATTTGCAGGCAAGAAGCTAATTAACTGCTCGATAGAAGGTTGAAACTCTGGAGATAAAAGTTTATCTGCCTGAAAGAGCGTACAAAAGATGACATTGACTTTACTTTATAAGACCCATCACAAGAATTACACTTAAAAATTCCCCCAAAAAGAAAAAAAAAAAAACTATACCTCATCCATTACAAGCACGCTGCATTCATTTAAGACACAGATACCCTTCCGAGCAAGATCAAGAATTCTCCCAGGTGTCCCAACAAGTAAATGGACTGGTTGGTAGAGACGCATTATATCGTCCTTTAGGCTAGTTCCACCGGTGGTAACCATGACTTCAATTTTCAAATGCTTCCCAAGTTCTTTACATACTTGTGACGTTTGAAGAGCCAATTCTCTTGTTGGGACAAGAATAACAACTACAAAAATGGACACACATATGAAAGCAAAAATAAGGATAGCATGATATGCAACTGAAAAATGTGTCTTTGTGTACAATGGAAATGCTTTACTAGAACATATGCAATCATGAACGAAGACCTATAGTTTCATACAGCTTCGCTAACTTCCATACACCATTTTATGAAAGTTTTCCATGATGACCCACACTCTGTGAGTGAAAAATAAACAACCAAATCTCACTTACTTTTAGAATCATACTCAGATCCTAAACACAATGTACACATAGCTCATATGCTCATTAGAACATATCAAAGATATTGCAGGAATTATGTATCTAAAGGATTCCAATTGCATACAAGTCGAACCTTGAATAACATTTTTGTCTTGATCGATTTTCTCCAAGGCCGGAATACAAAAGGCGGCTGTTTTCCCGGTTCCATTTTTAGCCCGGGCCAAGATATCACTTCCAGTTAGTGCAATTGGAATACTCTCCTCTTGGATTGGAGATGGCCTCTCGAAACCCTTCTCATATATTCCCATTAGCAGTTCACGTTTCAAAAAGTAGTCTTCGAATTCATTTCCTTTAGTAGCTGTAACATCCTGAAAGACAGATGCAAAATGCAACAAGGGTATTTCTTTTCACAAATATCGTTGTCTAACCCACAAAAAAAAAAAAAAAAA